AAATTATTTTTTGCCCCTCCATTTTGCCCCCCCCCTCAAAAAAAAATATTAGTCACTAAGAGCGACTAAAGGCTACACAAGTGTTCTGTCGTTATCGGAAAATGTATGGCTTATAAGTTGTCATTACTCATTTGTGAATGCGCGTATACATGAAACTGTTTTTTACAGTTTCAATATTAGTTTGTAAATCTCTGAATGGTAAAACTTGCCAATACTCCAATAACACGTTTCAAAAAAAGACAAAAAAGCTTTAGTTTTGCAGAGTTAAATTCTCAAACGTGTAAGGCAATAATAAGATGAAAGTATCACGAAATTATTTGAATACACCACATCGCATATATGGGGAGCGAATGTCCTAAAGAGGGACGATATTCCTAGGGTATTCGCCCCACCCCCCTGGGAGGCGATATTCCTAGGAATATCGCCACGTTTTGAGGGGGGGGGCGAATTTCCTGGGGGGCGACCTTTTTAAAAATTCGATCTTGCCCCCCCAAAATTTGAGTTTGCCCCTCAAATGCCCCCCCAAATTTGGAAGCCTGGCGCCGCCACTGAACATCCGTAGAATACGAAAGTATTTAACTCGCCAGGATGTGGAGTGTTTGGTGCATGCACTTATTTCAAGTAAGATTGATTACTGTAATCAGGGCGCTATAAAACACGGGCGGTGAAACGGAGATAGCGCCCCTGATCTTTGTGTGATGCGCGTACCCCCCGTATACATTAATTTAATGTCAATAAAAATGGAATTGGAATGTTTATGCAAAAAAGAGCTGAAAAAACTAAAGTAAAAACTGTTTTTTGCACATTCCTAAACAACTTGATGGTTTGAAGACATTGTTGAATTCATTTTCTGTATATCTGATGAAGGAAAGAGGGCTTTAAAAAGATTCATCATGAGTGAAATAAAAATTTGAAAAGGAATCGAGCTGATCGAATGTGGGCATACTCTAAAAATATTATACGAAAATTTTGGTATGAAATGGGATATTTTACTTCATAATGCGAAGGTAGGATAAACATTTTCACAGTAAGAATATTCTGACATTGCTTGGCTATTATTTTTCAATAATTATATAGCCAAAAATTGACCATGCATGCATTTAAAACAGCTAGAATTTGAAAAAACAACTACAATTTGCTCGAACAATTTGAAAACTTAAATATATAACCGTTTTTGTGTTAACCATGAGCCGGCCTGCTCGGAATCCATTGAAAGTTCATTGTAAAGTGTTTTTTACTAATTGATTTGATTTCTATTATTGGTATAACTAACTGCCGCCGACACTCCAAAAATATTCAGTGTGAATCTTTTTTCGTGCGACTGCAGTCGTTGACATTTAATACAGTGACAGTGTTACGGAAAACTATAAAGGCTGCAAAATACCTCCATTTTATGAAAAAAAGCACAAAAAAGCCCCGTTCAATTTTACGTGAGACATAAAGCCAAGTTAAATGTATAAAGTTTGGTGTGTTCAAATTTATCTCAACCTATCTCAACGAGGAGAAAACACTATTTTAAATACGTCCGCGCTTTGTCAAAAAAGAAAAAATGTCGTCAAAATCGAGTTCAAAATGCATGTCTTTTCCTCAACAATCGCTTCGTTCATTTTGCAAGTGAAATAGATACCAATTCTAGCAATATAAGCTGATACTAGATACTTCAATAAACATTTATAGTATGTATTTTCCAGGGTGGAAAGTTTGTAGGTTGCGCCAGGGCGTAGTAAAACACGGTCCTTTCTCAAAACGTAAACATGGCCGCATTCTCTCGGCAGTTTGTCGAGCTGACATGCTGAAATTCAAGGCTAAAAAAATATGTTTTGACGAAAAAGTCTGTCTTCTTTTAAAAAATTTCTGATATATTATGACTTGATTTCAGTTTTTTAGGGGATGTTTCACACCTAGGAAAAAAACTACATGCAAAAATACAATTTTTCCGCGGTTCTTTTTCAAAACGTAAACATGGCCGTATTCTCTCGGCAGTTTGTCGAGCTGACATGTTGGAATTCAAGGCTAAAAAAATATGTTTCGACGAAAAATTCTGTCTTCTTTTGATAAATTTCTGATATATTATGACTCGATTTCAGTTTGTACAATTTTTTAGGGGATGTTTCACACCTATAAAAAAAACTACACGCAAAAATACAATTTTTCCGCGGTTCTTTTTCAAAAGGTAAACATGGCCGCATCCTCGGCAGTTTGTCGAGCTGACATGCTGAAATTCAAGGCTAAAAAAATATGTTTTGATGAAAAAGTCTGTCTTCTTTTAAAAAATTTCTGATATATTATGACTTGATTTCAGTTTGTACGATTTTTTAGGGGATGTTTCACACCTAGGAAAAAAACTACATGCAAAAATACAATTTTTCCGCGGTTCTTTTTCAAAACGTAAACATGGCCTCTAAAATGGCCATATACGCTGTACTTTATCGAGCTGACATGATCTATATATTGTTTTTGAAACTAATTGTTTTTGAACTAATTATGTCTTTGACGGCTAGGGGAATGTTATTTGTATCTAAAATCAAATATTGTGGCAATATAATTAGATTGAACAATATTTAAAATGTTCCGCTTGATATTTTAAAAACTTTCGTGTTAACTTGCGTTGCTTCTCCTTGCGATACAAATGATGAACAGCACTATGTTCAGGGAAAAAAGTTATAGCAAAAAAAGTCCAAAAAAAGTCCGACTCTTAATTTTAATTATTCTCAAGTATGTTAATTTGGGAAACTTTTTGTGCTATCAAATTCACCTAGGACTACCTAGAGCGTTAAAAAACTCGTATTAAAACCTGACTTTGTGCGCAAAAATAACAAATTTTGAAGGGAACAAAAATCAAAACATTTCTTAAAACATTGACATTTTACAACGCAATGCGCTTTTTGTTTATTTTAATTAAGTAAAGCTGAAGTATAGTAGTGTTTCTTTCAAATTACGTTAAATAATTATGTAATAATTTAAAACTTACCTATATTTTCGTTTGTTATTTCGTAGTCTTCGGCAAATCTTTTTGTTGCCATTTTTGTGCCGTTCTTTTTGTATTTCTCGCAAAACGCGCGCTTTCGCCAGTCTCCAGCCGCATCACACATAGATCAGCGCGATTACCGCGCGTTTCCTCGCCCGTGTTTTACTACGCCCTGGTGAGACCACTGAGCTGTATAATAACTGGAGGACCTGCTCCTATCTCTCGTCAGTCAAAAAAGTGTCGCCAAAAACATGGCGGATTTTGACGCCATATGACGCCATTTCCATGGCAACTGGTCCGAAAACCTCATGGTAGTTACCACTGACCAGGCTCAATTCTGAGCCCACGGCCGTTTTCACACCCCCCTGGTTTTTTGCAAAAGATTTGGTTTTTGCCATTTAGTTCACTGGTTTTTGCAGATAAATATTTATAGTTCTCGTTGTTTTAAATCTTTTGTTTAAATTTTGAGATATATTTACTACCTTTGACCATTTGGTTAAAGGTATGCAAGTCGTACGTGTTAATCTCGCCCGCGAAACCTAAACAAAACCTCGAGAAATGTGGGAAAAGAGTATTAAAGACGATACTTGAGTCGGGTAAAAGGTAGGAGATGTCTAGTCAATTTTACTCATTCTTTATCTTATTTGACATGAAATTGGTAAGCCTAACGATGAAATACACTTCATTTGTTAAGAAAACAAGCTTTCAGCTTTCTACACTCCAATTTTCATATTGTAAGGTGTAAAATTTCCCATTATTTTAACAAGCTGTATTCACAAATATTTAGTTCTATGTATGTAAACAACACAGATTTGATATTCACAAATTTGTACGATATATACTGTCTAAACTCACTAAAGTGCAAACTATCTTGTGTAATAATGTTAAAAAGGTTGACTGCAGAGACCTGAGGTCTCGTTTTATTACTTTTATAAACATACACTTGATGAAACTATGTGTTTGTTGGGTTTGTGGTTTGTGTTTTTAAAATATGCATCAACTTTTGCATAAGTTACTGGAGGTACTGGAAGCTAGCTTATCCAGGAAGGTAGTTTCTGTCTACCTATAAAATACTGATTGGGGACACTTTTTGTGTCGTTACACACCTGATTATAAACTCTTTAAGCACCAGTGCTCTCCCCTCAACAAGTAAAATTGTTTTATCAATTTATATAAAATAGGGTGCACTAGTCTAAGGTACAATGCAACTTTTAAAACAGCTAGTTTAATGAAAGCATTCCTAAGCAGCATTGTATGTAGACCTTTAAAATAGGAATAAACCTGCAGCCATCAGTGATTCTGTTGCAGTGTTCAAACCAATTTATACTGATCAGCTACTGTGTCGAGCTGTAATTGCAAATTAATTCATGTAAATGTCATAAGGTGAAGCCTGTAGTAAGGTGTAAGGGTAAATGTCAGAATGTCAAGTAGCGTCACTAGACGAATAGTTTAAGTGTCAATTTTATACATATTTAGACCTAACCAACCTAAAAAATATAGTTGCATCTTTTGCAGCTGCTTTAACCAGGTCTAAAAATGTACAAAATTTACACTCACAATTTTCATCGATCTACAAAAACCCTTCAACATTTAGTGATGTACATCAGCATTGCCATGTAAAACCCTTTTCTCACCAAACATGCAGTTACTGCATGTAATAGTTGGTGCATGGTCAACATAGGAATATTTGCACAAGAATAGACATTACCTCTCAATTCTATATTTTTCTCACAGAATACATGGTCTGCTTCATTAGATTAATATGTAGTTTTTAGATAATAATTAAACTGCTTTATATTTTTTAGACCAAGAAGTGTTGTCTTAAATTAAGGGAGAGGTATTGTCAGTGGCAAATTTGAGGAATTTGATGCATTGGTGGAATATTGCATGTGCATGGTCATGAAATTATACTTCAATGCTGCAATCCTCAAGGTCTGGAAATTGGAGGTTTTGTACCTCAGCAGGGATCGATCAAAAGATGTGCTTAAATTAATTAACACTACTAGTTTTGTAAAGAAAATGAAACACTCTTGATGACATATACTAGATTTGTTGAAATAGTTGAACTGAGGCAATGATAGCAATTCAGGCATTTTTGGGGAACATTTTTAAAAATGTACTTGTTTTTAAAAAGTAAATTTATATTTGACCCATAATTTTCTCAGAACCAATCCAATATTCATCACTACATTAAACATATTTTCAGAGGTCAAGTATTACTAACAGTGATTTCAGCTCTAGGTGTGGAAATAGAAATCACAAAATGTTAATAATAAATGAAAATTTTAATAAATTTGATATATTTACATAATTTACATAATACGTACAGTGTACTGTAATTTAGTACTTATGACAACAAGTATTTATAATCACTGAAAATTGTATTGACAGAATTAAATTACATTAATAAGGGGGCATTCATTATTGTGGGGGGGGGGGATGGGTGAGAAACTGGGGGGGACCTGATATTTTCCCAGATGAAAAGGGGGACTGCAATTCTGGTAAGGGGCCATTCACAAAGGATGTCCGAGTCGAGGGGGGGGAGAGGGGTGTTTGGAAAATGAGGACGAACTCGGACATAGGGGGGGAGGGGGTTTTTTAGCAATCCGGATGTCCGAAATTTAAAAAATTCAAAAACAAATTTCTTTTTCCTCTATTTTGAACTCTCCTTCCCATTGTGAAATTGGCATTTTGACTATGCGGTTAATACTAGATTTTGTTTTAATTAGTATTTTATATGTTTTTGTATTCACATTTATAGTTATAAAAAAGTTCTAAAAGTAAAAAAAAGTTTTTTACTCTTGACATATACAAGGTTGCATGAGTTTTTGCGAGGCATGGTGGATGTCCGGGGGGCACTAATTCGGACAATGCCGGACAAGGGGGGGAGTCCGAAAATCCATCATTTGGCTGGACATCCTTTGTGAATGGCCCCTAAACCAAATCCTGGGGGTACCTGACATTGAAGGAAGACACATTTCAAAATTCATGAGGGTAAAAACAAAAAGAAATCAGATTTACATAAACTTCATCTTAATTTATTTATGAAGTTATCAAATACACATTTTTCTGAAGTTATTCAAAACACTCACAGTACATGTTTCATCACATCTATTAAAACACTTGGGTATCACCTCGTGTTATATTAATCTGATAAAAGGTTGCTGTTGGTACTTTGAATATATTTTAATACAATATAATAACTAACTTTCTTTTCTGCTCTCTCAGTCCCTGCTATACAATTGTACAAACATGTACATACTACATTTAGACACAAAGATGTACATTTAGATTTAATGTACTGTAGTGTTAAAAAATTAAATGTGACTGTGTGTAGTACTCTTTATTGTCAATAAAAAAGAGTTGAGCCATAACTTCAATTTGTTCTTCTCCATTTTGGCATCCTGTGCCATCACTTCTGGTACCTGTATTAAATTATTAATTAAACAGATCATTGTTATACCACAATCATGTTATTACACATCTTTAGTAATTAACAAAAATATAATATGTATTGCATATATGTTAACCCTTTAAGTGGCAATGCACCCTAATGTACTTTAGGGGAGAGCACTGCCACTCAGTGGGTTAATCAGACAATCTTCTGCATGGTTATGCATGACTATTTTACTCGTCACTTGGAGCTAGTGCTCATGCCACTCAATGGAATATAAATAAAACTATCTGCATACCCAATGTGCCCAACTTTAGTTAATCTTACTCTGTCAAACACCAGATTATTTTACACAATCTGTCTAATGCCAGACAATTTTACTTGTCAAGGGGAGAGCACTGCATGGTGCTCCATGGGTTAAGGCAAAAAAGTTTAAAGAACTACGATATCCAACAACATGAAGTGCATGGTCATATGGATCTGGCAATCTAAATCCCCCACAATAAGTGGCCACCACTGCTGCACAACCCCATATATAAACACTGCTACAAAAAGCTTGGCAAAAGTAGGACTTGCTTGTCCAAGCTCAGTGAGACTTGTTCAATGTGGGGGAATGCAATGCAGCCTTGTTCACAGGACATGAAGTCTGTGTAGTTTCTGGACTATAACTTGCTGCTAAACCTACTGAGAGAGATTGTTAAATCTAACTCAAAAGATAGTTTCAGTTATACCATATCTTATCTCTAAAACACATCATCATAGGCAAGCAATCATGCTTATCCAACTTTTGCTAACTGCATGCTTTGAACACTCTCAGGTCCTGGGTATTTTGTTCCCTCTGTCCCACACTCTCTGTCTTTGTGCTTATCTATATTACTATATATTAATCCTGATTCACACCATATATAATCTGTACGACCGTGTGAGCATGTGAACAACCACAATTATTATAAATTATTAAAAACTGGCAATAAAAAACACAAAACAACATAATTTCATGTCCACAATTTTCAACGATTATAAACAGGATTTACATGTCCGTACCCCGTTTCATGTGTCTGCTGTTGAAATATTTGCTGTATATATATAGTAGCATGAGTTTTTGACTTATATGATAGTCATTTGACTCATTTTCGAGAGTCATTTTATATCTAGCAACTAGCAAGGTTCTACAAAGTAAAAATAGTTTGACGAATCTTACCTTGAAAAAATAGTTAATCTTTCTTGATAGTGAATTGTTGCATCAACAAACGAAACAAAACGGCACTTTCCTCCACGTAGTAAAACAAGTAAAGTGCGAGGGAAAGATTTTCTAGCTCAAAAACAACCGAAAACCTCTAAATTCTGAAATGGTGAAATATTTGTGTAAAAACAGGGGGGTGCAGGACTTTGTTTAGTGCTTCGGATCGCGGTTGGTCAGTGGCAATTACCATGGAGACTTCGGACCAGTTGTCATGGAAATGGCGTAAGCGCCGCCATGTTTTTGGCGACACTCTTTCATGCCGAGCAGGTCCTCCAGTAATATAGTATAGCTCAGTCACTGGGTGAGACTCACGCCGAATGCGTGAGAATTGAGAGGTCTGGCGTGAGAGCGTGAGACTGAAGCGAATTGCGTGAGACTCACGCCGAATGCGTGAGAATTGAGAGGTCTGTTATTAAAGAATCTCAGTAAATAATATAAGCTATTGAAAAAATGTGTGATGGGATAGGGGAAAAAATCTTGCACATAAACGATCCCAGAAAAAAAATCCCTTCCAGCAATCAAATATGTTTAAATATGTTTAAACATGTAACTGGATCGCTGTAAGTAGATAGCCTGCTCACAGACGTTGTAGTTCTTACGCCAAGCGACGAAATACTACCGTCTGCTTACCCGAGCCCCTATATCTATTCTGTGCACGAGCGCCAAACTGAATTCCGCTACGTCGACCAATCAGAATTTACCTTCCATATTCTGGAAAGTGACGTCAGTTGATTTAGGAGCGGATCAGCGGAATAAATATAAATATATTTTTTTTTTCTGTGTTGGTGTGGTGTACTCAGGTGAATATGATATTTGTGGTGTTACTCTGAGTGTATATCCACACCGGGCGAGCTTGAAAAATATGCCCCGCCACGGTGGGATTCGAACCTACGACCTTTGGAATACTAGCCCAATGCTCTTCCAACTGAGCTACGCGGTTAGGACGGTTCGAGTGGAACAGGATCTAGTTCCTTCAAACCAATGTTTTCTCAATCTCGTACCTGGGTACGAGATTGATGTTTTCTAGTAATATGAATTTTTTCATAAATTGAATTTAAAGATACTGATACTTGTCCAGGTAATAAAATGCACAATTAATGGTCAGATTTGGATATTAAAGATGTTCGGTTATATTTAAAACGCGAACAGGATTGGCATATAAAATGCTGTATGAATCTTCGCCAGACAGCAGCAAATGCCGAATATATTTCGCTGAAATTTTAACGGTTAATCTTTATATTAAATTAAAGACAACAGAACTCGGAAGACATAAAATTTTATATAATACTGTGGCTTAGAAAGCGAAATATTAGCTTCAAAGTAAACTAATTTGCTGTTTGAGCAACCACTTCTGAATGTAAACTGTAAACACAACACAAACCCGAGAAACTTGTATTAAAATTGCGCCGTGATGAATTTTCCAATTCGCCCAAACTTCGAAACGTTTATACTCTAACTTGGCTATACTTTTCTCCATGACAATGAGAGCTTAATCTTTTAGAAGTTTTCGTCGAAGTCATCGCATATTAACAAAAATTTAAATTTCGCCTATTGCATTGCTTTAGCACTTTATATACACCGATTGTTTGCTGAACATGCGAGAAGATGATCACGATATTATTCTACGTAAACATCGTGAAGTTCAACGCTATAGTTTCCAAAATATATCCACGCAAGTAAACAAATTTCAAGTTTCAACCCAAACAATATATTCCAATGCATGTGCAAGGGCTTTCCCCAGTAGCTAATCTCTCAATAAGGCGGCTTCCAATTGGCTCTAACTCTTTTGAACACTGCCAGATGATTGGCTCCTAAAACAAAGGGAATTGAATATGCAGCTCGGGTAAGCAGACGGTAGTAATTCGTCGCTTGGCGTAAGAATAACAACGTCTGTGAGCAGGCTAGTTGTGCACCAGCACGGCGAGGCTTAGCAGGAGATTGGAAATTAATGAAATTCTGGAATATGCCAATTCGGAGTTTCGACTGCGCATCCACATGACGCGTTCTGCGCCGGGATAAATTGTAGTTGAACAATAACATGAAGCAGGAAGAATTAAAATGTGCATATCAATCATTATTTAAATTAGAATATATATTTCCTTTCACTTATGCTTTACACAGAAGACAAAATATGCTGGTACAAAAATTATTTAATGGACAGTTCTACCGTGGCTACAAGACTAAGTGAAAGATGATTGAACAGAATATTTGATAGCATGTTCTATTGATTCTTCCAGTCTCAGCTACATGTCATGGTTCAACTGCAATTTATCCCGACGCAGAACGCGTCATTTAGATGCGCAGTAGAAACTCCAAATTGGCTGAGCTGCAATTCTCAGCGGAGTCTTGGCGAAGCTTTGGACGAAAATCAGTACATTTGGATCCAGTACACTGCTCGACATTCAATGGTAAACAATGCTGCCGATATTCCTGCCGCCAAACATGAATTCCGCCGAAGTGATTTACTTAACTTGTTTCAGTATGACGGTACTTCATCTATTGTTGTGTTGCTAGCTTTGAGGGCAATGGTTATTAATAAAAATTACAGGCAAACTGATAAATTTAGTTGGAACTACTAAATATAGTTTAGTCATGATTGCATGGTAATACAGCACTGCTATTGTTGTTGCCATAGTAATATAAGAATAGTCTGTTGATTTCATAAAAGAAGCGAAGGAAATTACTTATTATTAAAGTTATACTGCGTGGATTATTCATATGTTTAATCATAATACAAAATAAGAAATAAACTTTATATTAAACCATGTTTGAATCTAAACAGACCATCACAGTTTGAACTAGAGGGCACTCAGAGACTGCATACCTCCGCCCATATTGAATTTCGGTCGTGTGAAATGCAACTAAGACAATAGATAATGAAGGCTGAAGCTTAATGAGGTTTATCATCTCATTATTGTCTTAGTACTGCGTCCTAATTACGCATTCAGTGAGTTTTTTTTTAATTGACCGGGAAAAGCAAGACAAAATTTTGTTCATTTCTCGTTCAATTTTTAACCAAATTCAACCAAATTTTAATCAGTTCTTCCTTAGCCGATGGGAAATGCATTCAAAAAAATTCGTATGAATATGTTTGGTATTTCTTGAGTTATCGTGCTCACAGACAAACACACACACACACACACACACACACACGCGCACATACAAACCCAGATGATTACATAACCTCCTGGCGGAGGTAATGATTACATAACCTCCTGGCGGAGGTAATGATTACATAACCTCCTGGCGGAGGTAATAATAATTAGCACAGAATCAGTGTAAAAGAAAAGGGTACGAACAATTAATAAACAACCAATCAGCGCCGGATTTTTGAGCTTCTTCCCAGAGCCTCGCCAACCTCCACAGTGGATGGCACGTCGGGGTACGAGATTGGAAGTAAACTAAATCTGTTTGAGTTTTTTTTTTAGCTTTTGGAATAGGGCTAGTCTTCCACGGAAGTAACTTCGTAGAGCACTCCAAGTGATTGGAGTATATCCATCTGTCCTTTGCGGAATTGCTAACAACAGCTTTCACTATATGGAGGAGGCAGATTGTATCAAGCCCCTAAGTGCACCTACTGTAGGCCGTGAGATGAGGGTCGAAAATATGCTTAGAAAGCGGATTCCGTAGCACCCCTCGTGTAACTACATAATTTTTACACGAATCTATAGATTATAACTTACTTAGTTAGAATCCACTTCCCCCCAAGCGAAATAGTTGTACAAATTAAAGTATAAGCTCTTCAAAGTTCACGCTTCCTCGTGTTTCGAAATTCATGAACCGCCATTGTTGTGTTGCAAATACGCATGCGCTTGAGCACAAAACAAGTAATGCGCACGCGCAGATAAGAAAAACTGATCTCAATCTAGGACTGGACAAGAAAAAATTATGAAATGTGCGAAAACAGGGCTGAAGTAAAACAAGATGACATCGGAATATTTTAAAATATATGATATTTTTATGTTCTGTGCATTTTAATGGAGTTTACCAAACATTCTGAGCAATGTACGTATCGAGCCCTCGCCCAGGAACACTTCCAAGCCAACATTACAATGATAACTTATTTAAAATATGATGTTATTTTATACTACAGCAATTGCATAACGTTTGCAAGCGAATCTGTTTTTCAGGCTTTAAATAATATCACAATCCTAAATATTCTAGAACATGCATACCGTAATTTCTCTATCCAATTTATTAGGGGAGAAGGGGGGAGGGGGGTTTAATTCTAATATATACAACTGTTTTGCACGTTTGATTCTCTTTATATATGCAACATCGGGTACTGTGATTATCAGTAAAATATCATAATTATCTTTCAAATACAATACTTTCATGTTTCGCGATTTTATACATTAATTAATTGGTTGCAGGAGAAAGGGGTGGGGAGTAGGGGTGGGGGGTGCTAAACAGAGAAATTACGATATACCATAAGGGAGTGGTCATTATTTATGGGGAGGGGGGGAGTTGGGAAATGGGGAAAATAAGGATTGAAAACTTTTTTGTCCCCCCCCCTCCAGACTGAAGGCAAACTTTTTGTGCCTCCCCCCTCATAAAAGTAGAAACTTTTCTGAACCCCCCCAGTGTAGATTGAAAAATTAACAGCAATGAAACAGGTGTGCATTGCAGGTAAAGTTAGATATTAGGACAATCTGTTCAATCTAGCTCATGATGTTTAACCCTGGGGCCGGTTGTTCAAAGGTGGGTTAGCGCTAATCTTGGGTTAAAAGTTTAACTTGCTGTTTTAGTTCGTGTATTTCTGCACGTTTGTTTATTTCAAAACTTCAGACAAGTAAACTCCTATCCATCCAGACAAGATCTCTGAAGAAATATTTCCAAATTTATAGACAAGCTGTCAGGAAGTTTGCTTTGAATTTTAGGTTATCCTAGGGTCAAGCTAACCCAGCTTTGAACAACCGGCCCCTGGTGAATATGATTCAACCATATATGATTAAAAAATATATATTATGTGTTACTACTTTGCAATGCAACATTTGTCCTACCATAACCCTAACCCATGACCCGTCTTCATACAGCGAAATGAGATTTTAAGAACTTGTCTGGGGGGTGGGCATCTACAAAAAGGGACCATACTATATTGAATGTGTAGAGACGACAGATGGTTGTTGGTGACAAAAAGTTTGGTGTGGTATCGTATGTACTAGTTGGGGGGTCTGGGGGTATTCTCCCCCAGAAAATGTTTTGTATTTTCCACCCCTAGAACTGAAATGTGAGCATTTTCTGAAACATATTTTTGGATATACAGCGTTACATTGTGCGTTGATAGACCAAATCTGATCAGTTAAGTGTACTTGCATGGTATGTTTATGTAAATACCACAACTGGGTCACTCAGGGGGTAGAAAGCTTGTTAAACTTAGTGGGCCCAACTCACACGATCGCGAGGAGCTACCATGGTTGGCGCTGAGCAGTAATTTTGAACATTTTGAGTCTCTAGATCGTTGGAAAAAGCATTTTCAGAGTCTTCTTTTTTGCTATTTGTGATTATAGAAATCAGAACTCTAGACATGGTATTTAAGTTCAAAAACTTTTATGACCCCCCCCCTTTCTCTGTGTTCAAACTTTTTTGACCCCCCCCCTATTTATAAGGGTAAAACTTCGTTTGCAATTTTATTTATTTTCTAAATCTTTCCCTGTCAATTTTATTTGTCCAGGTTCGTTGTTTATCATTTCTTTTGCATTTAATCCATTATTAATAAGAATGAACGGAGGTTCAGGCTCTACGCTGACTGGAACTCGGTTTTTGTACCAGCCAATTTCGTGTTCAAACACTCGTGTTACGTTGTTGATCATGCACGCCTTTATCACGAACGCCTTTTCGCCAATTCAGTATATTTGTGCAATCATCGTGAAAAAACAAAGAAGGAAATAGCTTAGTAGATTTTAGGAGGTATTGTTATGCAACAGCATTAATGGCGTG